CAAAATTTTTCCCGCGCAAATTCATAACTCGGGGTTCCGAGATGCTAGAAAGCTGAAATTTTAGAGAAATGTTCCCCGTCCAAGCAGCTGCTAATGAGCTCAAATCCAGCCCCCGGGTAAACGTGGTACCCGCGTACAGGCCCCCTAAATTTTTCCCGCGTAATTTAATAACTTGGGGTTCTGAGAAGCTAGACAGCTGGAATCTTAGGGGGGTGTTCCCTGTCTAAGTGGGTATTGACGAGTTCAAGCCCTGTCCGCGGGTAAGCGTGGTACTTACGTACGGGCCCGTGAAAAGTTCCTTCCGGGTAAGTTAATTACTTAGAACGTGAGAAGCTAGGAAGATTGGAATTTTGAGGGGATTTTTCCTGGCAGTTCTGGCGGCCAGTCTGAAATTCAGCTAGAAAACCGATGCCGGTAGCGACAAAAACCTGCGGGGAACTCTGCAAAAAACGCATTTTCGCACGGGCAGCCCGTGCGTTGGCCATTTATTTTAAAATCTGCAACAGCTCAGGCCACTGCGTCTCCGCTGCTGTTAGGAAGAAGTTAGGAAGAATGTAGACAACTCAAACTGTCTAACCATTGCCAGTGCCTTCTGCTTCTCATTATGCTAATGCATACAAGAGTTTCGCACGCCAGCGAGAACTTGATACGCATCATCGTGTTGCACTAGCCCGTGAACGAAGTCGTGATTGGTGAGATTGGCCGCGTTTATATCATTACGATTACGAATTCTTTTCTTCCGGAGGCATAATGCCATATTACTGGATAGTCTGAGCAATTCGGCCTTTTTCGCCATAAAAAACAGATAATCGGGACGTCGCGCTATTCGTCGATCGTAGCGCATCGCAAAAGATTTGGAGATATCTGCACATGACATTGGTCGACCTTGAAAAGTAGGTTCCAATTTCTCACCGCCAAAAATTATTGGAAATGATAAATATTCCGTGTCTTCGTCCAAAAGAAGCGAAATAGGCCTATGCCCTTCAGCTGGTGCCATCCTTATACCACAGTATTATCTGTCATTAACATGGTCTCTTGAACACCCAGATTAACAGGCTGTGCTTCTTCTACGTCCTCATTTTCCTCCGGTTCCTCGGGTTCTATGTTTGCATCTGCAATCATTATTTGGTTGTGCTGTTGCAACCAATTGTCTGAGACCCCAATGTTGTGAGACTGGTAGAGAGGCTGATGGGAAAGATACCTAGCAATTTCCCACACAAGATGTGGTCGCACATTACCAGAAATAAAATTCT